CTACCGTGCCTAACCCTTATAACCTATTAAGTTCTCTCCCCTCTGACCGAATCTGGTACACTGTTTTAGACCTTAAAGATGCTTTCTTCTGCCTAAGATTACATCCTGCCAGTCAACCTGTTTTCACTTTCGAGTGGAGGGACCCAGAGAATGGTCAAACGGGACAATTGACCTGAACGCGGATACCCCAAGGATTCAAAAATTCGCCTACCCTATTTGATGAGGCCTTGCACCGAGATCTTGCATCTTTCCGCACTGGCAACCCCCAGGTAACTCTCCTCCAATATGTAGATGACCTGCTCCTGGCCGGAGCCACAAAAGGAGACTGTCTATCGGGAACTGAAAATTTGCTGACTGAATTGGCGCGTCTAGGATACCGAGCCTCAGCAAAGAAAGCACAGCTTTGTAAAAGAGAGGTAACCTACCTGGGATATAATTTAAGAAATGGACAACGCAGGCTGACAGAGGCCAGAAAGAGAACTGTGACCCAGATTCCCATCCCAAAAACTTCGCGGGAGGTCAGAGAATTTTTGGGGACTGCAGAGTTCTGTCGGTTATGGATTCCTGGTTTCGCCAATTTAGCAGCTCCCCTTTACCCTCTGACTAAGGAAGCAGCCCCCTTCACTTGGGGGCCCCAACAACAAGAATCCTTTGACAACATCAAGCAGGCCTTATTGTCTGCTCCAGCTCTCAGTCTACCTGATCTAACTAAGCCTTTCACCCTGTTTGTCGATGAGAAAAGGGGAATCGCAAAAGGAGTGTTAACCCAAAATTTAGGACCTTGGAAAAGGCCAGTGGCCTACCTGTCAAAGAAGCTGGACCCAGTAGCACAGGGATGGCCTCTCTGCTTATAATCAATAGCTGCCGTTGCCACCTTGGTGAAAGACGCCGATAAACTAACTACGGAACAACGATTGACTGTCATGGCTCCCCATGCCTTAGAGAGCATTATCCGACAGCCTCCAGATAGATGGCTGTCCAATGCCCAGATGGTTCATTATCAGACTCTGTTGCTGAATGAAAGAATCCAGTTTGCTCCTCCAGCTATTCTCAATCCCGCTACCCTGCTGCCTGAGGAATGGGTGATACATCAATGCCATGAGATTTTGGCTGAAGAGGCTGGGTCCAGGAAAGACTTGACTGACCAACCCTGGCCCGGAGCTCTCACATGGTTCACTGATGGAAGCAGCTACATCGTGGAAGGTAAGCGGGTAGCGGGAGCGGCAGTGGTAGATGGCACTTCAGTGATCTGGGCCAGTAGTATACCTGAAGGGACTTCAGCCCAAAAGGCAGAACTAATCGCCCTTACCCAGGCCCTCCGACTGTCAGAAAAAAAAGATATCAACATCTATACTGACAGCCGATATGCATTTGCCACGGCACATATACATGGAGCCATATATAAACAAAGGGGACTCTTAACTTCGGCTGGAAAAGAAATAAAAAATAAAAAGGAAATACTGGACCTCTTAGAAGCCATACATTTGCCAAGTGGCAATTATCCATTGCCCGGGTTGCCGTCGGAAACCAACAGGCAGATATAGGGGCAAAAAGAGTTGCTCAAGGCATTAATATCCTCCCTCTACAGGAAGACCTAGGGACTGCCACTACCAAGTTCGCCTATTCTGAGAAAGACTTACAGAGGATAAATGACTTAGGACTCTCAGAACCTCAGCCAGATGGGACTTATGTCCTGCCCAATGGAAAGACCATCCTACCAAGGGAAGAGGCCAAAACTTATCTTCAGCAACTACATGGGCTCACTCATTTAGGGGCCAAACATCTAAAGAAGATAGTTCAGACTTCCCCATATTATATTTATAACCTCTCTGAGCTAGCTGATGAAACCATTCATCAATGTATACCCTGTCAGCTTGTAAATGCCTATCCTACTAGGCTTCCCCTGGGAAAAAGATTACGAGGGGACAGGCCTGGCAGCTATTGGGAAGTCGACTTCACTGAAATAAAGCCTGCTAAATATAATAATAAATACCTCCTAGTTTTCATAGACACTTTTTCAGGATGGGTAGAGGCCTACCCCACAAAAACAGAAACTGCTACTATTGTGACAAAGAAGATACTCGAAGAGATCTTCCCAAGGTTTGGCATCCCTAAGGTAATTGGTTCAGACAATGGACCAGCGTTTGTTGCCCAGGTAAGTCAGGGACTAGCCAAGGTCCTGGGGTTTAATTGGAAATTGCACTGTGCTTATAGACCCCAAAGTTCAGGTCAAGTAGAGAGGATGAATAGATCATTAAAAGAGACCTTGACCAAATTGTCCTTAGAGACTGGCATTATAGACTGGACGGTCCTACTACCCCTTGCTTTGTTTCGAGTACGAAATACTCTGGGAAAATCTGGTCTAACCCCTTTTAAATTGCTTTATGGAGCCCCTCCTCCTTTAATAGGAATTGATAACTTGGCAGATCCAAATGTTATCTCTTCTAAACCTCTTTATGGTAGATTAAAAGCTCTTGAAACTGTCCAACGCGAAGTGTGGAAACACCTGAGAGAAGTTTATGCTCCAGGAGACCTCCAAGTTCCTCATCAATTTCAAGTCGGGGACTCTGTCTACTTCCACCATCATTGGACAGGCAACCTAGAGCCTCGTTGGAAGGGACCTTTCCCGGTATTGCTGTTGGTTGTGTCTGGCCTCTGACCCCCCATATTATGAAGGAATAGCTTTCACCAGTGGTTATAACAATACCACCTCCCATGACTTATGTAATTGGAACACAAAAAGGAAATTAACTCTAACTGAGGTATTAGGGAGAGGAACTTGTTTGGGTATGGTACCCCCAGATCACCAGCAGTTGTGCAACCGGACCCTCCAAAGTCTCCCCTCCTCTGACACTCGTTATCTGGTACCTGACATGGGGGGATGGTGGGCCTGCAATACTGGCCTCACCCCATGTCTGACTACTTCAATGTTTAATGGTTCTAAAGACTTCTGCATACTTGTTCAGGTCATACCCTGGGTTATCTATCATAACTCAGGCCCCTTTGAAGAAAACTTTAATTTAAAAATTACAAGGTATAAGAGGGAACCGATAACCTTAACTTTGGCAGCTCCTTTAGGATTAGGTATAGCCACTGGCATTGGTACTGGGACAGCTACCTTGGTCCAAGGGTCTCACTATCTAAATGAATTAAGAACGACTATAGATGAGGACCTCAGAGCCATAGAAAATTCTATTACTAAGTTGGAAGAGTCACTAACATCTCTATCGGAAGTAGTCCTGCAAAATCGTAGAGGATTAGATTTGCTCTTCTTAAAGGATGGAGGACTCTGTGCTGCATTAAGAGAAGAATGCTGTTTCTATGCTGACCATTCAGGAGTCATAAAAGACTCCATGGCCAAACTCAGGGAAAGATTAGATAGAAGGCAAAGAGATCACGAATCGCAACAAGGTTGGTTTGAAAATTGGTTTAATAAATCCCCTTGGATCACCACGTTGGTGTCCACCTTATTGGGACCCCTTATCATCCTTTTATTACTTTTAACCATTGGGCCCTGTGTTCTGAATAGATTGGTTGCCTTCATCAGACAAAGAATCAGTGCAATGCAGGTACTAATGTTGAGACAACAATACCAGCCTCTAAGAACCCAAGCCTTAGATATAGAACATGAAGAAACTAGACATTAAGAGTTCTAAGATTAGAACAGGTGCAGAAAGAAAAAGGGAGGATTGTTAGGAAAGTTTTCAAGAAGCTCCAGTGAGAGGCCAGAAGGTCACGTTAACCATTTCTGAACAGGAACCAAGATAAACATCTGGTACGGGAACGACCTGACCTAGCCCTAAACATTCCCGTAAATGATCCCCCACCGAAGCCCCCCTTTCTCGGAATTCCCCCTCCCCTATAGCTTGTGGTTTTTTTCTTTAAAAACTGTGTATCTACCCTGCTTCGGGGCTCAACTCCTCTGCCCCTGTGAGGGTTATGAGCTGAGCCCCAGCACGCTGGAATAAAGACCTCTTGTGTTTTGCATCAAGAATCATCTCTCCGGGGTGTTTATGGTGCATCGCGGTGTCCCGGACTCAAGAGTAGTGGGATTCCTCCCTGGGAGGATCTTACAATGGCCACCACTTTGAGCACCTCTTGTTATTGCAGAGGCCAAAGATAATTTGTATTAACTTCTTCCTCCCCCACTCATACAGGGCATCAAACTCAATGTAAGACTTAAAAGTCTCACTTCCACTCCACGGAGCGCAAACAGCCCAAAAGGCCTTTGCAATGTTGGGCCCTAAAGCCCAATGAGGCTCCGTGAGAGCTATTGAGGAACGAGAAACCCAGGAAGGAACACACCAGGCTAGATGGTAAAAGACCTTTATTAGTCTGGCCAGATGGCACTCTCAGAACCAAGTGGCTGGCTCAAAGAGGCCCCTAGCTCAGGGGCTGAGGTCCTCTTATAGGGAGTAAAAGAGGGGGTTAACATTTTTGGGCTCACAGACAGGGGACAAAGGTCTGCTGACTTGAGCTGGTGGTCAGCAGTCACATGCTCAACAGTCACATATTGATGAGTGACAGGTACCACCCATAGGATGTCTCAAAGGGATGAGCAAGCAGTTTGTTAATTAACTTGGGGCTCTATGTCTGGAGTCTCTAATTTACAAGTAGATTCAGATCCCGACTTCAAACAATACAAGAGTGATACACATTCTTAGGCCAGGGCTGAAACAAAGGTCGGGGCTGTGGCTACAATGGGAGGGGTTCAGGACACTGTCTCCTAGGCCCTTTGCCATTTAGCAAGGGCTTGTAATTTAGGTCCCACACTCAAGACCATGTGTTTGCAAGGCAGGCACAGTGCCATTGAGCTAAATCCCTGGCCCCATAACCTGTATTAACTTCATGATGTCTCAATAAACTTAGTATTGAAATATTTATACAAGTTTTTCTTTTCCTGATGTTTACACTTTTTGGCAGAATCCATGTTATTTCAGAAGTGATATACACTTTCCCCCTTTCTCCAACATATGCTATACAAGCTTAAAGCAACTCACCTGGCATTCTTTTCAGCATCTAAAACAGCCTGTGCCAAATCCTTGTGGGCTTTCTCTGCTTCCTTTGTTAATTTCATATCATGTGACCGAACCAGACACAGTTCCCTTAAACAAAGCAAAGAAATCTCAAATTCAGACCAGGGATTTAGCTCAGTGGCGCTGTGTCTGACTCACAAGTGCAAGGTACTGAGTTTGATCTCCATTGGGGGCGGGGGTGGATTTCAAATTCATAATTGGAGACTTCCAAAAAGATTCTACCCAGGAAATCAAATTTATACTTAGACATCTCGATTTTCTAGTTTTTCCACTTTAAAGGCCAAATTAAGAAATCTCGTGTAATTCTGGATGGAATCTTGACAAATTTGGCAAAAGAATCAAGCTGGCAAGAAAAAGCAGAAAGAAGACAAGGTAGGGGCATCCTCTAAAATAGAGTGCAGACCAATGTGGACAGACAAGGCCACAACATTGCTCTGCCTCACTCTCTGGTCTGTTTGTCCTGTCCTGTCCCCTTTATTCTTACCACTGAGCATCATACCACAAAGTTAGATGATCACTAACCTAACCTTGATTGCTATATAATATTTATACTCCTTGGAATCTGAATCTTAATGCCCATAATTAGTACACTGCTCTGTAAACCTGATAAAGGTAATCATCTGTATCTTGGAAGAGAGTCTCTTCCCTGTTGAATATATACAGAGCCTGAGTTTTGTGATTACCTGCATGAGCCATTTATCTGCATTTAAATACAATAATATCCAGTTCTTTCAGTTCTCTTGCTAAACATGAAGAGAAGACAAGAGTCCTCACCTTTAACCATTCTGCTTTCCATGAATATTTTTTATTCTATTTAAAGACATGGCTCTGAATGTTGTATTCAAAATAATCAGTTTTTACCTGGTCAATTCCTCAATAACATTCTTGAAATTATACAATTCTTCTAAAATGCGCTGATCCATTATTCTCTGAGTTACCAGGTCTTTATAGAAATCAGTCATCTGCCTGGCAATTTGGTCAAGCATTTGCACATACCTCTCTCTGTATAAGAAACAAGGGAAACAAGACACCATGCAAAAGGGGGAAAGGGGAAGTCAAAAAATAAGTGAGAAAAGTAACATTATGGAAATAGTAAATGGACATTAATATTCTCTCTCATTCATATTTCTCTCCATTCATATTCTCACTTTCCTCCCTCATTCCCCTCCTGCCTCCTTCCTAGATGTCATGAGGTGAACAGTTTTCCTTTACCACATCCTTTTGCCTCTTCACAGACCCAGAAACAAAGGATCCAGCAGACCATGGACTAAAACCCTGAGGCAGAACGAACCTTTCCTTGTTTAAGTTCTTTTCCTCAGATATTTTGTCACAGTAATAGTACAGAAGGAATTGGCAAGTGAAACACTGAGGGGCAGCAGAATGGAAGTAAAATAACAAAGTTTACTCCATTGATGGGGATTGATCACACCAAATGGCAGTGCCATGAATGACCCAGTACTGGGCTACAACTCCCTCTTATAGGGTTTTACAGCCTTGATTCCATTCAGGTGGTTACATTTCATTTTCACAGTTCACATTGCTGATATTTAAAACATGGTGGTGAGGCAGCTGAATTTCAACCCGGATGTAGCACTTCTTTGGTAGGGGAGGTTACCTTTAAAATTCATTTAGTTATCTATTCTAGCCCAGGGGAAGGGGAAGTGCCTGGTCAGCAAGGTTAACAATGGTTCTTTTCATTTACAAAACTTTTTAGGGAGACTAGATACCTCTGGTGCTTGCTGATTCTGAACTAAACAAAGCAAACTACTTAAATTATTTTACATTAAAGTGGTCTCTATCAGTAACAAAAAACTGTCTAACACATATCCTAAGCTTAAAGTCGTATAATTGTGATATCTTTGAGTTGGACTGGTCATTTAGACCAATCACTCATCCACTGACTGAAAGAATTATCCAGTCCTTACTTTAACACTTGAATTGGGAGGGAGTTTTATCAGCTCAAATTGCAGTTTGTACACTGGAAAGAATTTTTATGTACTGGGAATAACCCAGGGCATTATTACTAAGCAATAATCAAAACTCATTTTTTATGTTTTATTTTGAAACAGGGTCTCGTTAAGTTGCTAAATTGTGCAGGCTTGGCTTGAACTTGTCATCCTCCTGCCTCAGCCTCCCAGAGTGCTGAGATTACTGGTATGCAACATCAAGGGCAAAGTATCAATTTTTAAAAAATACTTTCTTGAGAACTTCTTCTCTTGGTAATGTAGAGACTAGATACTTTAATGATTAGTGGCCTTCACATTCCAAGACTACTAGATCCCCCATTAAAATACAAATACATTCATATGAAAGTATACTTTTCAAAGCATTACTTGCCTTCCAGAAAGAGAAGTACTGTATCTAGTGATGGGAAACAAAAGAACAAACAAGAAATACCAAGCTAGGCATGAAGTGGGAGTTGTTAGTAGTATTCAGTAATCAAGCCCAAGGTCAAAGTTGTCCCAGGAAATATATCAACCCTGGGGTGCAAAGACTAAGCTTTGGGCCCACTTCAAAATGGAAGACCTGGGCAACTTCATGAAGCCTGGATCCCAGAAGAAAACTATAGGAGCCAGGTGTGGAGGCACACACTTGTAATCCCACACTCAGGAGGCTGAGGCAGGAAGATCATCATGAGTTTGGGGCCAGCCTGGGCTACATAGTGAGTTCAAGGCCAGCCTGAATTATATAGTGAGATCTTGTCTCAAAAAACAAAAACAAAAAGCAAACAAGAAAACCAGAATAATACCCCTTATTCATGACTAAGGATTCTATAGGTAAGTTCATTCAAATATTAACTCCACAGTAAGACTGTAACATATTACTGGTAGGAGACATTCCTGCCCAGGACTAGTAGGCTATGAGTGGCACATGCTTCCTGGCTTCCATAATTCAGCTATGTAGTTTTATATCAGGAGTTAGACCGAAGCCCTGCGTGACTCAAATGGGCATGTCAGCTAGCAGAGTTGGGCGAGTACTGCTCCTTTGCTAATGGCTGTCACCAAGGCCTAAGTCCTGGTCTGTGAAATGGCAGGACTCTGCTGAGTTATGTGCAGCCGAGGTCAGCGTGACCCCAGTTGAAATCCTTTCCCCTAACCTATCACTTCTCACTGAACTTGTGGGTTGCTTGCTAACTGCCCCGGCCCCAGTATGGGTTTCTTTGATCCTAGCAAGATAGATAAGCAGTGCCAGCTCCCTAACAGCCCTGCCTGGCGCTATCACGCCAGGTGTTCCACAGTATTTCATTAGATGCCTTCAAAGCATACCTTGCTCCCTGTTCCTTCCCACGATTGTATTCAATAAATACTGTGTGCACTTGGGGGCCTTTGTCTTTCTGCCATCAGCAGCACTGACCAGGACCCAAGACAGCTTCTCCACTCTAAGTCCCATCTGTGTCTGTTCCTAAATTCACCTTGTGCTGTGGTGGCTCACAGGCCAGGACCCAGGCAGAGGTCCTGATAACATCCCCTTCCCCGCTCTCTACAGTTACTGTGAATAAACCATCATGAATGAGACTCAGAAGAAACAACCAATAACACAGGTAGGTACTAAGGGTTTTCATATGTTAAAATTATCAGAATTAAAATATAAAACTATGCATAGGGACGGGGATGTAGCTCAGTGACACTGCACCTGCCTGGTAAGCGCAAGGTCCTGAGTTTGATCCCCAGTACCAAAAACAAACACCTATGCATAAAATGTTTGAGAAATAAATATCAATGACCAAAATCCAGTTTTACAGGGATCAGTAAAACTGGAAAAAGTTTAGCTAGCTTCCTTGGGAAAACAAAACAAGAAAGAAGACACTATCAATATTATGGTGAAACAGCAGAGATCACAACAGATTCCAGCAATGAGATAATAAGATAATAATGGAATATTATGAACAGCTTTATACCAACAAATTCAATAACTTAGATCAAATGAAAAAATTCCTGGACAGATACAAATTATCAAAACTCGTCAAGAATATGAAGATAACCTGTATATAGTATCTATCCAAGAAACTGAACTGTAATTTTTAAACTTTCCTGTAAAGGAAGCTCTGGAACCAGATAACAAAGGGACAAGGGGATGGCAACGGGTTTTTCAATATGATGCAAAAAGCACAAGCAGTAACAAAAATCCAAACAAATTATGTTCATCAGAGTCTAAACATTTTGTACATAAAAGATCACCATTAAGTAAAGACTACACAGAGAATGAGAGACAGTATTTTCAAACTATGTTATCTGATAAGAGACTTGTGCTCAGGATACATAAAAAGAGACAACTCAAAAATAAAAAAAAGATAATCAATTTAAAAGCAGATAAAAGAGCCAGAGGTAGCTGCACATACCTGTAAACCAAGCTACTCAGGAGGCTGACGGAAGGAGTCTTCACAAGTTCAAGGCCAGCCTGGGGAATTTGGTGAGACACTGTCTTAAAATTTTTAAAGGGCTAGGGTTGTACCTCAGTGGTAGAGTGCTTGCCTAGCTCTTGTGAGACCCTGAGTTTGATCCCCAGCTCTACTAAAAACAAAATTCATGAAAAGATGCTTCTCCAAGAAAAAATGTAAATGGCCAGTAAACACATAAAAAGATGTTCAGTATCATTAATCACTAGGACAATGAAAAACAAAACTACAATGAGTTACTACTTTACATCCACTAACATCAAAAAGATGAATAACATCAACAACAAGGGAGGATAGGGAGACACTGCTAAAGAATTTAATGTAAAATGGTATCGTCTCCATGGAAAACAGTTTAGCAGTCCTTCAAAAAGTTAAACGTATACTTAGTATATGATTCAGCCATTCCACTCTGGGTATACACCAGAAAGAATATTCACACAAAACTGATGTGCAAATGTTCACAGAAACATTATCAACAAAAATTAAAAAGTGCCAACAGCACAAATTGATTGATGAATGTATTAACATTTTGCCATACAATAGAATACTAATTGACCATAAAAAGGAATGCAGTACTGACGTTTGATAGAACATGGATCTTGAAAACATTATTCTAATTAGAAGAAACCAATCACTAAAAGTCACATATTGTATAATTCCATTTCTATAAATGACCAGAAGAGGCAAATTCAGACAGAAAGTACATAGTGTTCTCCAGAGACTGAGAAAAAGAATGGAGAATGATTACTCCTAGGTACAAAATTTCTTTTGGAAGTGATTAATATATTTTGGAATTAGATAGTAGTGATGGTTGCATAACTTTACAGAAATATACTAAGCAGCAGAGAACTGTATATTTTTTTAAATTTACAGGAGTTTAGTTATATCTCAACGAAAGTATAAAATCATTCATCATTATGCTTCCTCATTTACACTGCCTGTATTCCTTCTGATATCAAATTTCAGACAATAAAAATATAAGCATCTTCTTTATATTAAATATAACCTGCCAGGCAATAACTTACCCATGAATCCTAATTTTGTGCTCTGAAAATACTCAAAATAAATTCATTCATTTTTTTCACTTTTTATCTCTAAATATTTGAAATGTTATTTTCTTCCACCTTATGTCTTTTCATAACACATCCGCAGTTCTTTCAAGTTTTCTTAGTGAAAAGTACAACACATGGGAAATACGCTTTAATGTTGTTATTTTATGCCCAGAATGTGAATTCTACAAAATGACAATCAGAAAATGTTTTAGCTTTTAAAGGTCAAGTGAGCAATAAACCAGCCTGGACTAGGTATGTAGCTCAGTGGTAGAGCACTTGCCTACCATGTGTGAAGCCCTGGGTTCAGTCCCCAGATCAGCAGGGAAACAAACAAACACACACACACACACAAACACACACACACACACACACACACAAAACCACAGGAAATAACCAGTCCAAAAAGTCTATATACACACAAATCTTAGTGTAAACTAGGGACTTTAGTTAATAGCAATGTATTATTAAAGGTTCTTTAACTGTAACAAATATGCTATGCTAGAATAGGATGTTAGTAAGGAAGAATACTGCAGAATAAGGAGAAGCGTGTGCGAACTCTGCTCTACCTGGTCAATTCTGTAGGTGTTAAGACTATTCTAGAAGAAATTTATTGATTTTTTGAAAAGTCTGATGAGCCTATTTTTTAAAAAATGAATAGGCAAGTAACAGACTGGGAGGAAAGGCTAACTATAAATTTTAAATAAAATATATGTACATAAATACAAAATAAAAGTTATATATGATAACTAGTAGTAGTATAGATAGTAAATATATAGTATATGGATAGTATAGATGGTACTATACAAAAAATAGTTCCAGGATTTAAAAATAGTCAAAATGACTTGAATAAGATATTTCATAATAAATAAATATAAATTAAAAAAATATATATATATATGTACACACACACACACACACTTACTGGCTATCTGTATATGGCCAATAAACTCATGAAAAAGTGGTCAATATCATTAATTGGCAGAGAGACACAAGCTACAACCATAATTACATATATGCTAGTATAATCAGAATGGCTAAAGAGCTATATCATGTAAAATATCAGTTAAAGCAATCAGAACTTTCAGACATTGCTAGGAGTACAGAACACTGTATAACCACTGTGCAAAAAGTTATGAAAATTTCCTGTAAAAATAAATTTACACCCACCCTTTGAACCAGCAAAAATCTAGAATTAAAACATATTTTCATGAAACAATTTATATATGAATGTTGAGGTAGCTTTACTTATTTAAGCCCAACACAGTGTACATCAAGAGAACACATAAGACGTTCTTTGTTCCATACATATAGTAGAGCACCACTGGAAAAGACAGAGACAAACCAACACATGCAACAACGAGGCTGAATGTCAAATACATGCTACATGCAAGAGGCCTCACACAGAAGAGTATGGCTATTGTTTGAACATGGTTTGTCCTAACCTAAATTCGTGTGGACTGGACTCCAGCGTAAAAGCTGACAATTGTTAGGGCCTTTAAAAGGGATTTATGGCTTTAGCAGGAGTAAGTTCTTGTACTTATAGGACTGGGCTGTTTGCCATGAAAGTGGGCTGTGATAAAGCAAGCCTGGTACTTCCCCTTCTCCCTCCCACAAACATGCTCTTCCACATGTGTCTGCCTCCCTCTCCCACTTACCTACCATGGGTTGGGCAGCTATGAGGTCCTCACCAAAAGCATGAAGATGCCAGCTTTATGCTCTTATATCTCAAATTGTTTTCTAAATAAATATATTTTCTTTATAAAGTTCCCAGCCTCATGTAGTCTCTATACCAACACAAAACAGACTAAAACAAGTGCCTACTGTCTGAATCCACCTATATGAAGTTGCTGAATAGGCAAAATAAGTCTAAAACACAAAAAAGCTAGAACCTCTGCATAAGTGGGATGGGAATTTACTGAAAAGAAAAATAAGGAAACTTTCCAGGGTGATGATATTATTCCATAATATTCCATATCATGGTAAGTGTTTGGGTTGCCTGGAGGTATAAATTTATTATTAAAATCAAGGAAGATACAGAAGATCTGCACATTTTATAATAGTTTTATATGAATATATATACACATATACATGTACCTCAAAAACTAAAAACTATATATATATAAAACAGGGGGATCTAATGAGGGGCCCTCACATATGCTAGACAAGTATTCTCCCACTGAACTAACCCAACTTATCAGTACACATAAATTTTTCTCAAAAAAAGAAAAAAGAGGGGTCGGGGATTTCGCTCAGTGGCACCACACCTGCCTCACAAGCTCAAGGTCCAGAGTTTGATCCCTGGTACCAAAAGAAAAAAGACAAATAAATATTAAACTCTGGTTAATAATTTTTTAAATGCTGAGTTACTTAGGGCTATATGCTAATGCTTACAGCTTACTTTGAAATGAACAAAATTGGTGGAAGGACAGAAAGGTGACCAGATGGATAAACAATAAAGTAAGTTCAGTAAGATGTTAATGGCAGAATCTAGATGAGTATCTATGTTTCTACAATAAGTCTTTCAATTTTTCAGGATATTTGGAAATTTTTACAATAAAATATTGGAGCCCGACGTGGTGGCACATGCCTGCAATCCCAGCACTTGGGAGGCTGAGGCAGGAGGATCACTGTGAGTTCCAGACCAGCCTGGGCTTCATAGTGAGTTTCAGGTCAGTCTCAACTACATAGTGAGACCCTGTCTCAAAAAAAAAAAAAAAAAAAATTGGAAAATATTAAGCTGAAAAATAGCTAGGATCCCTTGTACAAAATATATGTGTGATGTCAATCAAAAGTAATTATGATCTGCTCTTCAACAGGAGAAGGTGTGTGCTGAGTTTAGATCTTAAATAGCCCTTAGAGTTTATAATGTTGAGGGTTGGTCCCTAGAGCGGTGCTCCCGGGAGGTGATGAAACCATAGAGCAGTGGGGACTGCAGGGAGGTCCTTCTGACATCAGGGCCATGTCCTTAAAGGGATATGGGCCTCAGCCCCTTCCTATTCCTCTTGGGCTCCCTGGCCATAAGGTAAGCAATTCTGTTCCACCATGTGCTCCTGCCATGATGTGCTGTCTCATCACAGGTCCCAAAGAAACAGCACCAACCAGTTAGGAATTAGGTCCTCTGACACCTGGAGCCAAAATGAACCTTTCCTCTGCACAAGCTGATTACCTTAGGTATTTCATTAAGGTGACGGGAAACCAACATGGTTTGCATACACTGTTCGTTATATAGCTTTTTTTGCCTTGCTTCTTCATCTCTCGCTCTTGGGTTCATTCTCAGACTGACAACTTGGGCCTTAGCTAGTCCCTACTCTCATTCCAATTTGGCATATCCCAGTTTTTGACAATATCCTAATTACTTACTCCTTTGTATCTAACCTTAACCAGTCTCTTATTAATGTTTTATTCCTAGTTTCTTGGCACTGCCAGCTTGCTTGAACAAATCAGGCAACGAGCCAACAGACACTGTTACTTGCCAATTAGAAAAAACTAATACTCAGATCTAATAATTTCTCCCAGGTTCCATAGCAGGTGAAATACAGATATATGACTAGATTGAGGTATTCTGATACTACTATTTATTTCAGCTTTTTGGAAAGTATCAAAGTCATGAGAAGAATTAGAGTAACAAGAGTATTTATCATCATCATCGATAATAATATTTATTGAGCACCCACTTCTTTGTTCTCATCAAAACCTCACCACATTGCTATGAAGCATCTCACTTTCAGGGTCCGTACCCAATAAATATCATTGATTTATATTTTATTTT